TATAAACTTTTATCTAATTCCATCATACTTTTTATATTAGAAAAGAAAAATTCCAAAAACTTTTGTTACACACTGTACAAGGTGAGGCAACAAAAAAAAGTTGACAGTTTTTTTCATCAAAGAGAAAGAGAACCAAAGAGGTGAACAAATTGGTTTAGTTTATATGGAGAAAGAAATAAAGAGATTTTTATTATAAATACTGTATAAATAAAGTTTAAGATTTAATTCGAGACATAAGTATCGTATATAATATTATTACATATGACGTTATCTATGATATATATTGGCCGGTCCCGTGGGGTTGATATTAGAGAGGAATAAATTAATTATCGTCATTATAAACTTTTGTGTGACACTCTACGTAAACATCCATGTAATACTGTGACCGTTCATTTGCCATTTTCCCCGACAGTTATTCCCCAACAATTATTTCAAAGTTATCTTGATTCAGATAAAAATAATTTTGGTAGGCAAATTTAGCGTTTTGACAAACATTAACAGATTGTTGTCGAAATATTTTTCGAGGAAATAAACTGGACCCGCGACTAAATAACGCTCTCCAAATATCAATTAAACTTGAACCGTAAGCAAGAAGATAGTTGTTTTTATTATCAGCCAATAACAATGGGTAAGGTCATGGTACAGGTGATATGACGGATACCATTAAATTAAAATGACCAACGTAACCAGCTTAAGCTCAGTGCTCTTCAACATTTGTTTTTCTTGATTTTAGGAACAAAGCTCTACTTACAAAACGTTGCAAATTGTATACATTACGTACGTACCAAATAAGCACACATCTGATGTTGATGAAAAAAGTTTACGCACGAGCTGTATTTCTACTCTACAATATTAATGCGCACGATATTAAATTAGGTATAGTAATAGAAACAGAATCTTGTGATGGGAAAATACATTATATGAGAATGCTTCGATTTTAATTGTATATTATACTCCACATGTGCAAGAAAAAAAGTTACCCGCCGCAGCGCACATAAGCAGACCTTTTTGGGGACTCCATATTCCGACTCTAATTGAATAAAAGTCGGGAATTTTTTTCGGCACAAATTTGTACGAGAAGTCAAACTCAGTATCAGATTTGACTGGACATTTCAATGTAGAAAGTTTACAAAAATTGTCACTGAACGTCTGCAGAAGCTTGTGGTCATTGTCGTCGAAAAAATCAATTTCCACGGTAGAGTCCTCGGGAAGTTCATCAGGTGTGACTCCGTAAATGTTAAAAGTAACGGATTCGTCAAAGAAAATAAGATATCGTTACGTCGAGAAGCGATGGAGGGTCTATAGGACATGGAGTCCTTTTACTCAATGCATGCGGAATAGCACTAATTACTGAAATTGTAGCCAGCACAAAGAATAGGAAAAAAATTGTGCGCTTCATAGTTTTGTAGTTGTTAATCAGTGAATTGGTAAGTTTCTTGGGTTGATACAATCCGAGACATGTCATCGTTTTATAAAAAAGCTAGTTTCCTAAATAATATTTTATAATATCCAAAGTTGAAGTCTATTAGCAAGATATTAAATGCATGAGTGTATGTATTGCTCATTACACACCCACATATATCCATGTAGTCATACCCACACGCCTTTATGGGCATTTGTTATAATTACCTAATCGATATGACGGTTTGAGTAACAAACCGATAATATCCTTAATGAGATTTACTATTAAATTTTAAAGTTTACTCGATCCGAATAATCCATTGTAACTGTTCATTAACAATTTGTGGACAATAATATCGTTTGAAACGTTTACATGGGCCATCAAACATAATTGGTGAAGCCGATCGCAAATCAAACACGTAGAAACTCTGCCTGCAAGTTTTTGACATACGTTTTGTCGTACCTCTTATTATCAGACTCGAGATAACACAAAGGATAGATCGCAAATTATCTGATGTATGGGTATTTGATTTATTATTCGTCACCTATAGTTAAATAAAAGTAATCTAGTTACAACGACTGTAAAATTTAACGTGCATTTAAAGCATTACCATGCATGTACGTACGTATAACAATTATTCAAAACAGTAAATATAACTTACCAATCTCTCTACAACATATAATTTACCAATAATATAATTAATAGTTAATCTCACTGTCGTTGATGTCAGGGTCGAGGATATTCGTAATCCAGCAATAGACAACCTGATTTAATCCTCCTTAGAAAACTTGAATGGTTTTCTGTAGTGACCCAAAGTCACCTTAATGGCGATGAAACGCATAACGATGAGACAATTCTTTCTTGTTTGTTGCCAGGAAGTGATGAAATGTGCATTTGTGATCACACACTCCCAACACACCAGTATGAGTACAATAATAATAGCACCAAATTAAAGATATGCAAAATGGCAATTTATTTATTCAAAGTGATGTGTAATTGTTCAAAATAAAGCGTTTATAAAACTGAATTCGATTGAATTGTCGATTAAGTGCCATAAAACATCGTTGCCGTGAAATACGTAACCCGCGTGTAACTCCCGTGCGACTCTTTTGCGATAGTTGTTCGCGACAATACTTATTTACTTATTTATTAAATGTTATCAACACTAAGTTAAATGTATTCGCTCGTGGAACCAGATCACCACTTTCGATGAATGGAAAGTGGAAGAAAACAGATAACGTGTTGCGAATATAATCCTGGAGATGCAGTATCTTATGTAGGAATGGCTGTTGGCGTTTGGGAATAAGTTTGTAAAAGTTTAAGTAAAGGCACGTATGTGAATAACCTTATTACGCTTAATTGTCATTATATGCTCAAAGAAAGATCGTCTTTATCAATTAAATATAACAACAGTTAGTGACCTAAAACGTAGTAGGCTTTACCTATCTCGGAGTCTGAATACTCGTCTTATAGACGCTAATCCTCGATAAACACGTCGCTGTTCGTACAGCGATAAGAAATGAAACAAAAAAAACAAAACAAAACAAAATTCTATTCTATACTTTGGGGAAAATTTTTATTTCATTGTGATTATAAAAATATTACAGCGATAAAAAATAATGCACAGAAAGAAACAAAACAAAAGAAAAAAATATTGCTACTCTGCCATAGCTGTAAATCAATCGTCGAAGCTATGTTACCGACAAGTCGGCAAGGGGAGGGGTTTGGTAAATAGGAGCTGTTTACGGAGATTGGGGGGGGGGGGATCGTTGATCTGAAGGTACGCTGCCACCTAACTATATGATTGACCTGAGAACTAATGAGAGTAAATTAACAGAATCCCTGTAGTGGTTGTCTTGATTAGTTTTGTCTTTGTCTTTAGACTTGGTTCGTTTGTTAAGAATCTTGTTCTTAAAAAACTTTTATCGTCTCCTTTTGTCTACAGATTTTCGCAGCGAAGATGGTAATATTGTTCCTTTAGACGATGTTCAGCGCTCTATTTAATATCATGCAATGAATCGTTTGGTTTGCAAAACGAGTATCGATTGGCTAATTATAAAACCATATTAGGACCTGCACCCAAAATTATCCCAATGTGCAGGCAGATTCCTTGATTTAGATTTGGGCCCAGTTTCGATATCAATCAATAACCTTGCGGTGGTCATAAAACCGTCAGATAAGGGTGGAATGTTTCGAAAAGCAAGTGTGATAGGAATCCGCGATGTACGAGTTTTTCTAGGTTAGTCAGATCGAACTGATGATAAAGAGGATTCGATCTTAGTTATTAAAGTGTCACTGATCTGAAACAAATCAGAACGTAGTTTGGAATGCTATTTCTTGATCCCCAACCGAATGTGAGGGGTGAGGATAACAGCGCGATCCCTAGTTTCCGAAATACGTTTTCAACATGTGCAATATACGTGGCCTGGATGATAACGTCATGGCGTCTCATGTGACGTTGGAAACATGAGGCTTGTTCGTTTGATGATAAATACAACTACTATTGTCTTTTGTTTATTATTTACCGACTGATACAATCAATTGCACACCCAACACATTATTATTATTATTATTATTATTAATATTAATCAATACACTGAACTGACTGGCAGCATTCGAATGAAACAGGATACTCGTTGAAATTTAAACATCACAGACAACTATTCAAGACCTTCGAGCCGTATTCAATTGAATTGTGCAAATGGGCAGGGATTGAGGTGTTCCAGAGGAACCTGCTTTCAGGCTATGAACATATTCAAAACAAATTACATCAGCTACAAACAGCCCGAAATTATTTCATTGTTTATTATTGATCATCTCTCTACATTCCCCCCTCTTTATCATCCAGAGTTTTAACTTTTACTTTCACTCATCATCATCTGCTGATGTTAGGCAACAAAACAACCAAGACGTTATTCTATTTCCCATTCTTTCACTTACTTTAATTTCATCTTATTGACTCTGACTCTGGACCCAACTCCAATGGCCACCAACGAGATTGCAAGTAGCCATACCCACACATGATCAAATTGCTCGAGTGTCCAGTTGGCCTGCGTGCCTCCGAGCGCTGTAAGCCAGATCAAGAATAGCCCAAAATATCCAGACATGCGATGGTACTTGTACATTGCCTTTGCTTGACGCACACCACCGAGGGCGGATGGGAATACGAGCATTACGAAGCCAAAGGAGCCCTGTACGGCAAGGAGGCAAATGGTTGTCAAGCCAGCCTTTCCGTGAGCGGAATAGACTGCGTTGAAAATAGAGAAAGCGTTAAATAACATACGGATAATGAATAATCGGGATTTATAAACTCTATCGTTTTTTGTAATTATAACAACTGATTTCACTTACAATGTTCCTTGTTATTAATAATCTTGTTAGAGACTATTACGGTGAAACCACAAATTGCAGATATGAAACCAAGCGTCTGGAACCATCTATGTGTTTGTGTACCTTCTTCCTTCTGTTCTACCGTTTCTGCTCTTTGGAGTAGAAGTACACCTGTGAAAAGGGTAAAGTTGAAAGATGAGGGCGGGGACGTTGAGATGTGATGCAATATTATACAAGCTGAAATCTAATTATCTAGACCAAAACGATAAAGCAACTTTTCGCGTTGACTATCCAGACGTAAAAAATATATATATATCCGCTTCCCAAAAAATTTTATTACGCCTCTCTCAAATGTCATATTTGTGCATGCTTTGCCTAATGCATGATTATCCTAGCATGTCCTTGCATGTTGTACGCACCTTCGGTTACAAAAACAAGAGCAAAGCTCATGCATATTGGATGCCATAAAAATAATGACGACTCTGCCTGAAAAAGAATCCACCACAGCGTCCCTGTGAACAGTATGACACCCGTCGTAGCTACCGTAAACCACATGAAGCCTAAATCACAATATGTTGGTCCTACAGGTGTTGGTATAGTAAACTCGTCTTCTCGGATATCAGACGTTGATGTCGGAAGATAAGAAGCTGAAGGGAGCGGAGTAGAAAGCAGCGGCTGGTTTTCCCCAGTGGACATTCTGTATTTGGAAATATTTCGGGTGACAGGATCTGTTTAAAGTAATGATACCCGTGTGATAAGAGAGGATTGTGGGTATTTTATCGTCAGCAATATCTCGTCGTGGATATTGAATTTAGAGATTGTAAATGTGGTTGTAAATGTGGTTGTAAATGCAGTTGTTGTTTGGTATTTGTAACTGTATAGCTGTCGTTTGATATTTGTAACTATAGTAATGGTGGTGGTGGTGTTCGTTTTGGTGGGGGTGGTGGTGGGGTAGTGGGGGGTTGCGTTTCTGTGTTTGGTTTGTGGTCAGAAGTGATTGACGGCAAAGTTAAAGATCGAGGGCGGCATGATGGATATATATATACACACACGCTTCATATATTTAATAAAATAAAGCTATTAAAATCGCTGATCAAATATGATATCAATATAAATAATTAAAGCAAAAACAATTTATCAGATTATCAGATTATTTCTGCGTCAGTAGTGTAAGTAGTGTAACGGAGCGCAAGTGTTATCAGATTTTATCGAGCATGTGTATTAGTATAGCAAAAGACGCCATTCGAATAAGAACCAAAATTAAATTTAATTTAGAGAATCGTAAATTGCGTGGAGAGCAACTACAACAAAGCAACGCTTGGAATCTAGTTGAAAGTGGGCCAGTCATTCAATAGCCTGATAAATCTAGGGCACTCTTGCTTTGTAGAACGGTACCGGTACTGGTATGTTAACATTAATTGTTCTGTCTTTAAGTCGTCTATGAAACTCGATTCAGTAACAATATGTATTTGGTTAGTCAATCAATATGTAATACGTATTAGTGTTTATAATAGTATCCATATCCGTTTAGCGTGCCATCACATGCGCAAGAGTTATCAGATTGAAATCATCTGAATATTGTAAACATGTGTAACATGTATGGATCTGATAAAAAACTTGTGCAAATTTGATGCGGAAAAAGGAAGCCTCTGCAGAAAGAACGCAAATTGCACAACCCCGACCGTTACATCACATTAGTGCGATGTGATACATGCAAAGATAAACCAAGTCACAAAGAAACTAACATCATATCCGATCAGTAGATGAATCGTATGATGATAACAATATTATAACTTGGGAAGAACCGTGCTTTATGGGTTTTGGTAAATGTCATATTGTGTAGGTGATTTGCATTCCCACGAGCGATGATTTAATCACACGCATACATTCTCAATCTAACGATATATATGATGACTGATCTATGAATGGTGATTTGGTTTATATACTCGGGGATGCTACTACCCCGTTATTCCTACCCTGTACCTTTTCCTGACCTCAAATGTAACCCTCTATAAGTGCACCCTCCATAAGTGCACACCCTCCCTATCCAAGCTTGAGACTTGGAGCAAGTGCACACCCTCCATGTAAGCGATTTGAGTCCCAGATGTAATCGTATAACCTCCATAAGTGCACTTAAAAAAGTCAGCCAATTAAACGCCACAAGGATGCAATAGCTTACTTATTAGTACTAGTAAATATACTCGTGCTTACAAAACTGTATTATGAAATACATTGACATTTTCCAAGATGACATAAACGCCACAAGAATACAATATATTTATTGTCGTAAATAGTTGCGACCACGAACTTGGATATCTCTTTAAGGATACAATTACGGATGTAGACGACATAGATTATAGTGAGGGAAGTCTGTTATTAGCAATCGCTAGCTTGGAAATAGTACGTGCCTTTCTTTTACAACAGGACAATACGGAAAAATATACAACCTCTTTACAAAATATTGAGGTCAGGAAAACAAGCTCAACGCATCAAACTAACATTGACACATAAAGTGTAGTCTGACTTCGATGTGATAATTTGATAATAAGATAATAGAGAGAAAGTACTAGTCACTATTCTGTGTAACAGGTTTCTGGTTTTCTATTCGTTTGGGGATTAAAAATTTCTTTGAAGACGATCGCCTGTTTTTGCGAATGTAGATTATGGATGCACATAGAGTATGTGGAAACTTTCTCAACAAGGGAAAAAATCCTACAAGCATTGTCAGCAATAAGGAATACTACCTTGTTACGTTGTTGTTCTTCCTTCCACTCTGAACCCTCCTAGTATAACTGTTTGACAAGTCATGTAACCGACTTGGCCATGAAGATTACAGGGGCATAATCAATAGACAATTGACATTGTTATTTATATTCACATGTGACATTAAAATTCGATCCCCTGAAATCTTCATAAAAAATTCGGTTTTCATATCATCACATTCTTTATACCTCTTGACTACATTACTCTCGCCAACACGTATCCAACACGTAACCCACACTCACTGTGAACTTGCTGGAAATGTTCACCACACCACCTTCACAATTGCAACTATCACACGCTTTCACCACACCACCACCATTACAACTCCAGTCGACTCCAACTCCTACTACGCCACCATTACGATGCCAATCCCATCATACACCACCCACAATATCTCCTTTACTACAGCCGTTATACACAACGACCTCATCTACAATATCTCCTTTACTACAGCCGCTATATACTGCGACCTCACCTACAACGCCACCCCCACTTTCGACTTCATTGTCGGTAGACGTGCTAACTCCCACAAGCGAAAATTTCTTCGAGAATGAAAGAAATTCTTATTTTTCCGACTCGTCGTCGGATGATGAAAAAGGGAGTGACGAGGAAGAGAGCAGAGAGGAGGTGATATGGTACAAAAGTGAGTTCGATCTGTTGATACATGTGAGTTTATGAGGATGATGATTGTGATGATGTCTAATTAATTATACGTGTATGGGTGTATGAATGTAGGGAATTTACGTGATATTACTTGTAGGTTCAGATCTATGCATTTTAACTTCCTGCTTTCCTCCCCCTCTCTCTTCCTCTTTTCCAATCATACTAGGAATTTGACACTTTTGTCCAAACGGCCCGACCCCCTCTTGCACCCTTCTCGCATTTACGTCCCCCGTCAAACATCCTACATCGCGTAGCCAAGAGAGTTATTCGAGAATATCCTGACTGGAGACATTCGACTACAGACACAATGAGAGGTCTAAGAGATTATTTGAGGAGTTTGAGTTGGAGTAGGAGTAGGGAAGAGGGCGAATGGGAGGAATGTGTAAATAAGTGGGATTGAAAAAACTTGGGCGGGAGAAAGAGAAAGAAAAAAAAAAGTTGCTTAGGAAAGAGCGAGAGAGGATATACATATACTTGGATGGAGAAAATTAATCGGCCGTGCGAGTTTTTGAGAACGTGGAATTGGAGGGAATCATCTTGCGAATGAATGCGAGAGAGATGTACACTCGAGAAATGTACGCTCGAGAATACGAGTTGATTATCAACTCACTAAAGTAATTCTCCTGTAAATATTTTTAATTAATGGGATGGATTTCTTGTAGATTTGTTATACATACAATAATATTAATAACATATGTGAGATAAATAAAAAAATACAGAATATAGTTAATTGGAGGATCGTTTTCAAAAGCTTCGTGTCTTTAAGGCTGATCACTAATAGGAACATATAAATCAAAAAGTAAAAGTCTTTTGCACTAGTCACTTTTCGCTGAATCTGTTGCTGGTTGATTGATTGTTGCAGTTGGAGTATAATGATAATATGTGGTTACTTTTCAGTCTTGGAAAATGTTTATTTTTGCAATCTACATAGTCTTTGACCATTGCAAATTCAAAGGCATTAAAGGCATTACTTATTCGAAACCATGATGTATATTAGTGTCTATACGCGATTTCAAGAACTAATGGCAGGCTGTAGTAAAGCATATGTTCATAATGAGAGCAGTTTGATCAGAATTATACAGATCCTAGTGATTGGCTACCTACGCAAAACCCGGGAATGCAACCAGCCAAGAGCTGATCTTCATAGTTACTATTGTGCGTATTTGTTCATTACTAGACAGGGTGATATTATTAGGAGATACTGTAGGCTGATAGAACTTGAGAAGTGAAAAAAGGAGTTCATGCGACGTCCGTGGTAGCAAACACTCAATTATCATGAGATTGGCTTGTTATATATTTGAGTATCAATAATTTAGTATAGATTACACTCCCAACATCGTGATGAAATAATAAACAACAAGTAATAAAATATCCTTATGATTCTATATATATGCGTTAACTTACAAATGAATTTTCGAATCACTTCTCCTTGCCTGCACATCTCGTCTTCCTCGCTCTTGCCTACTTTTGTTCCTTAATATTAACGGATTTAATCAAATTCTCAGCCTCGCCCACCAACCTTGTGAATAAACTTTGCGGCGGAGGTCCAATGCGTAATATTCCTTGTTCCTGCTCGTCTGACGCAGATTGGCGGGGGTATAACTCGACCTTGATATTGGCTAAGGCGCTATAAACGGAATGTGATGAAGAATACAGCGATAAGAAAATAAAAGTGTAGGAATAAAAGGTGACAATTTCTCGTTAGTATTTGGAAGAAAGATTCGAATCTTTTTGTTTTACGGATGAGATTTTTATAAAGCTCATGAGCAAATCCCCCTCCCACCTCTTAGTCCAAGCTTCAACGTCCTCCTTTGCCAATAAGATACTTACGCTGTAGCCATAGATGCAGAAACCGATAACCCACTTTTTGATATAGCCTCTTCTTTGTCATCATTTTCCACTATTTGGTCGGTAACAACTTCTGGATAAGCATCCCAAGATATAGAATTCCCTGCTTTAACCTTATTTTTAAACAAGAGCTCCAGCACTCTCTGTCTCTCTGGCTCCATTTTTGGAAAATCTTTCGATTCTACATGTGCCACGCGAAGGAAGAAGTGATTGTCACTGACGAGGGGAACGTCCCAACCGATTATGAGAAATAGACGTTCGGCGAGAGTGAACGCATCATCAACGCCCTTGAATTCGTATATAAGAAGACCTCGTGGACCTTTGGCTATTGAAGACTTGAATGCTCTATTTTTGGATATTAGATAAGCAAGTTGTTAGGATGATTTGATTTTCCCACGTAATTCTTGTTTACATTTTGTGGCAAGCTCTAGCCGAGGTTAGTCAAGCACTGTCTAATGGAATGATTTCGCCTACGAAAAATCGCCTAGTTCAAATCTGCTACTCACGTTACTCCACCTTTCGTGGGAGGAATTGAGATGGTCGGGGCTTCCAAACAATCGGTCTCGCAATAGTATTCCATGTTCTTCAATACATAATGTTCGTGATAATTCTCAATCGAGACGGTTACGCCTCTTTTGAGCTGTCTATTGATCGTGCCCAATGTTGATGAAACCACTGCAAGATCCATCGAAAACTTTAAATTCTTGTCGATTGTCCTTGGGTATTTTTTATATGACCCGTTGATCAATCGCCTTATTTGGATGTGTATTAAACGATAATACTTTTTTGTGTTCTCCTTATCGCCTTGTTTGTTGGATTTGGGCGAAAAAGGACCTGACGCCTTTTGAGTTCGTATTTATGGTCATAGTTAGTCCGGAGTGCAACACAGTAATAGTAATACTGTTTAGGTGGTTATTGTTAATCTTTCAAGGTGAATAGAAAGATTCCAAAGCTTTTGCCAAAGCTATTGCTCCCTCATTTTTATAGTAGAGATTTAACTGAGTCAAAGTAAAATTCAATTTAAAGCTTCAGCCAAAGTCATGGCCAACCAGCAAAATTAAATCCAAACAAATCAGGGAACATTAAAAGTTTACATAAAGCTGTGTTGCCTGCATTGCCGTTATGATTGCCAGTTGAGTTTGATTTTAATGCATTTGCCAAAGCCACGTTTCCTTCATCTCCAATAGCGTTATATGAAAGATTCAAAAAGGACAATAACTTGTTTGTTTCTAGAGTTTCTGATATAGTTGTCGCGCCAATATCTCCGATCTCGTTTCTATCAAGCCTTAAGTAGGTCAAAGAAAAATTAGACCGAAAGCTTCAGACAATGCTGTTGCTCCTATGTCTCCAATATTGTTATCAAGGAATGCAAAGTGAAATTGGGAGAAACTAAAATTTTGTTAAAAGGGTTGCTCCTGTATCTCCGATCTTATTTTTACCAATATCTAAGGACGTTAAAAACCTCATATTTTCTATCAAAGTTGATATTACAGTCTCGTGCAGCTGATTATTTCTAAGATTTAGAGTGTTCAATGATGTGTTCGATTTTAGAACGTTTGCCAAAGCCACTACTTCCGTGTTTCCGATTACATTGTCATACAGCTGTAAGATGAGCTTGATTCTAGGGCGCGCATTATTTTGCCTGTTACACTTTTAATGCACCCACAAATTTCAACGCTTTTTAACTTTTTCTGGAATTGAATGAGTTTTGCCAACTCTTTTCATCATTGCTTGCAAGAGAAATTTTTATGTACTCAAGATTTAATAGAAGCTTGCTTGCCGACACCAACAGTTCTCTCTTCGCATACTTTCCGTGAAAAGTAATTTGTTTCAGATGTCTAAAGGCTGTATTGGCATTAGGTAATGTGAAGAGGCACTTCGGTGTGAGATTAATACAACCAATTTGTGAACAACCAATTTGCATATAATAAGCGATAAATCAAGTCCGTTTTTCATTATTTCCCGAATGTCTTTCCTATAGTCTTTCTTTGGATTTAACGTGTTTAACCAATGATATACGAGTACGTTCAAGCCTTCGATGTCTAAAGTGCGAAAGAAGCTAGGATAAGGCAGTGTTGGTGGCCGACTTGGAACGATGATTCAGATGTAACTCCATTGGTTTAATATCTGATTGACATTCCGCCTGTCCTCACAATTTGCAAAAATTAAGCCTTCCCTTATTACTTTTAAGTGTGATTTGGAGGAGACTTTACCAACGCAGAAAGTTTTCCATAGCAAACGTGCAACTGAAAAGAAACATTTACTAAACGCAAACTATAAAGCGATTGCTTTGAAAATTAATTCATCCCTCTCCTATTTAAATTTGTCATACTATGATATCAATAGTGCTTAACTTCATTGGAACTTAGTCTAAATTATATTGGAGATATAGGGCCACAAGGGCATTAGCGAACGGCCTAAGATTTAACTTCACGTTAAAATGTATGGATCTTAATAGTAATCTTATAGAAAATGCTGGTGCAACTGCACTTTCGGAGGCTTTAACGTTAAATACCTCTCTGACCGCAATAAACTTAAAATATAATGAGATTTCTAGTTAGTGAAGGAGTCTAAAATTAAATTCTACTTTAAAGTTATTCGATATTATGAGAAATCCAATTGACTACGCAGGAGCAGCTTTAGCGGAGAGTTTAGAATCAAGTTTGTCTTTAATGTCAGTGAATGTTTGGTATCACAGTTTTAGAGAAACAAAACATGGGCTTGGCACCAAGTTCAATCTTTAACTGTCATAAAAAGATAATTTATTATGAAATAGTATGATTTGTCTGATTTAGAAATGATTGGCGAAAATTATCCAATAAATGTTCTGGCCTGTAGCGAATCCAGCCCGATTCGCAATAGGCACATTATCTAATATCACAACCAATAAGCGACATCTAATTAGCATTGTTTATGTGATAATAGCGAAATAAAATGTGCTTATTTCGAACTGGGCCAGCCCGATTTTGAATCGGGCTGAATTTCGCTATGGGCCAGAACACCGATTTTCACATCGTCCGCGAATACCCTTATTAATAATATCAGATTCAAGATCGAATCTATTCAACCAAAGACATCGTTTGCTAAGGGAATTACGACTGCTTATATATCTATTTCGAGTTCTGCGCTTACTGCGCTGCTCTATACTCTAAAACTAATAATAATAAATACATTAGGATTAAATTAAAAGAAACAAATCCGTCCGCATCGGGTGAAATCTTTAAGCGACTGTGAAACGGAATCGCTGCGGCTTGGAGTGTTGGTGTAACTCATCGGAAATGATGTCATGCTAATCATAAGTCTTAACACAAGTGTTGAGAATCTTAAGATTTGCGCACATGGAAGTGAAAAAGTTTCTAATTCAAACTATGTCGTCAGTGTTAGCATCAGGAGTTGTTAATAATCCAGCGATTGACAACTTGGTCCAATCCTCCTTGGAAGATGAAAATAAATACTTACGACTTGAATGGATTCCTTACTCGCAAATTACTGACATAGAGCCAACTCAAAATAATAACGTTCGTTACGCTATTCACGAGCTAAAATATCGTGATGACAAGATAATGTTACTATTGCTTGGAAGTAGCGAAGAATGCACACCAACATTTGTGACTGAGTTCGCTAGAATATACTCACTTCCAACGCGCGAGGACAATAGCGACGTCGTTAATCAGTTCAGAAGATACCCCAAATGGCTTTTCTATCGTAACAGCATGATAAAAGGATTCACCAAGTCTAATGATAATTATTACATGGTTGCTGATGAACTCTTTGACCATTGTTACTCCCGATGTGGATTCTGCGCTGCATGTGGAATACTCCGATGTAGTCCCGTGTGGTGCATTTGTGGACATAAGCAACTATCCGATGGATGGACCAGCAACAATAAGCAACTCGATGAGTTTATTAAGAAATCTCAATTACAAACAAACTCTGCAAATGAACACTATTTGGAATGGATTCTATTTGATTGTATTGATGATACGGGATATTATGTATACTTGTATGGACTACCTATTATTGATGATTATAGTGTAGCTGTTAAATTGACTCCGCTTGAGATAACCGATGAGATGGATGATTTATATTATGACAAGGTAAACTATTTATGCATAATGTTTATTGAATTGCTTAAATAATTGCTGACTATTATGTATCATGTCCACTAGTTATGTGATGAGCATCCAGCTAATAATGTATGGATAACTATTGGATTTACATATGATACAAACAAACAAACGTATTGTCTACTAAAAGTTGACCATGGATTATGTCTGGCATGTACAGAGCCATTAAGACCTAGGATGAATGCATTCTGTTTCAACTGTAAAGCACCACAACCTCTTGATTGGACGACTGGCACCAAGTCATTGGATTCATTTATAATGGAGTCATGGAGTAATGTTAATGTTAATGTGGAGGATGAAGATGATGCCTGTATACAATGGATCGAATACTCTCGATTATCAAACATACAAGAGATGACATTATTACCCCATAGATGCACGCATATAGCAGATTGGTTAGGATCAACAACAAATGAATTGACACTTGTGACACTCAAAAAGATAGTTGAGGAACAAAACGATCCATTATTTGATTTTCATCAGGTAAATTATTTTGTATAAGTGTATATCATGCGTTTAACATTGTAATGACTGTATTTATTTACTCAAACAGCTAACCAAGGAATACCCCGAAATATTGACTCCAGATAATATTTGGATAGCTGGGTTCACTCAAGAGCCATCTTCTCGTGAATATTATTTAGTGTTTTACCACATAGATGTAGTATTGGACAAATTTATGCAAATTGATGAGCATGTCATGTATTTTCTATATGCTGACTTTAATGGAATTAAGGAAATTGGATCTGGATGTTATGCAACAGTCTATTCTGCCAAATATAATTATTTAGGAGTGGATATGCCACAAACTGTTGTACTAAAACGGTTTAAGAGTTTTGATGGAATGCCGGAATTATTTTTTTCCGAGGTAAGCAATTATTGGTAGTATTAATTAAAGCGACATTTAATTTGACGCTGTATTTATTTTTATTCGATAGTTCAGAAATCATGCCAATTGCATAAGGGGCGGCGATTATAATGTTTTACTTCAAATTTATGGATTCACACAAGACCCAGAAACAAAAGAGTACATGATTGTTATGCAATATGCTAACAATGGTAGTCTTTTGTCTTATTTGGATCAAAATATAAACAAATTGACGTGGAAAATGAAATTACAGTGTTTAGATAAGATTTCGGAAGATCTGCATATTATCCATGGTGCAGGATTTGTACATTGTGATCTTCATGGCGGAAACATTGTTCTCGATGACGATGGCTATGACGATGACGATGACGATGACGCGACAGAAAAAGATTTTCGAGTGAGTTGCCCATACATATGCGATCTTGGTCTCTCACGATCGGTGAATTCGCGCGAGTTAAATTCAACCATTCACGGTATTTTATCCTTTACTGCACCGGAAGTCTTCCATACCCGCAAATTTACTCAGAAATCAGACATATACGCATTTGGTATTATTATGTATTTGATTGCCTCTGGTGAACCACCTTTTAGAGATAGGCAGTTCGATGGAGATTTAATATGCGACATTATGGGCGGACTACGACCATCAATGCCTGATTCTGCACCAGATGAATACAAGAAACTTGCCGAGTGGTGTTGTGATGCTGATCCTGACAAGCGCCCAGATGCAACGACACTGGATAATGATATTGCCGAGCTTAGGTGGGAGGTGGATATTTCCGACAGCAATGCCTGGCTTACCATTTATCATAATGATGTATGACCTTTATCACGTCTTGAAAAAGAGAGTAAATACTCTGGTAAGCTCTTACCTACAGCAGGAGAATTACCTCCTATCTGAATAAAGAGCAAATTATTATGAAATTTACCAAACGTAAAAATTAATAAGCGAGCATTAACAATAAAAATCACACCAAGACCTCCACTGATCGAGCGACCAGTCAATGAAAGATTGTTCCTTATAGTCGTCGACTTGTTAGCTTGAGCGCATCCGTTGAGCTTTGACTCGTATTTTACTACTTTGACACAATAGTAACCAAAGCGTCAATAACTTAACAATTCGATTTTCTGTAATTTTATCGTTGTTATAGAATGCGATCACGAAAATATAGAAGCACCAGAGTGATTGCACGGGAGGAAAATACTCGGTCACGCTGTGTAAACTTGGGCAAGCATGATGCGTGTAATTATTACAATTTGTACAAGTCATTATCACGTGGTATAATAAGATTTTTGTTGATTTCGTCCTGTAACACGCCTTCCGGAAGCCTGGATAGGAATTAAAGCATATGTTTGATCTTTGCTAAATCCTAATTTTTGGATTCTATTCCGAGCATGATTACGGGCTTTATAATCTTTAATCTCTTTACATGTTTTTTCAGCATAATTACCAAGCTCAGCTATACTCATCTGAGGAGTTAAGTTATACTGATTTACGAAATTTGTTGCAACTTTTGACATTGTTGTTATGGTATAATTGTGTGGACTATAACTATGGAAAATATTTTTTCAAATCAAAATTAATTATCCTTTTTTCTCCCATGCACAGAAAAAGAGCATATATACCTACATATGGATAACTGACCATCGATTTGAAATTTAAATCGTTCTTTGCATTTTTAATACATACATTATTTATGGTACATTCAAGAATTTTTAGTATACCAGAAGTAATAGAACAGATTTTATATTTCTTATTGATAGATAAATCTCTCTATCCCGCTCTATATGTTTCCCGATTGTGGTACAAATGCGGTGCTCCTATTCTATGGAAACGAGTTGAGCTAAATAAGAGTAATATACGAAAAATTTTTATGGTAATAATATGGGAGCGGAAGCCAGTTTATTGCTTGAATGTAACTCATTTAAAAATTCCATATTACTACCATCTTTCGGATAAAAAATTCAAAATTATTACGGGTTTGCTCCCAAATATAGTTCATTTAGATTTCGCTTTTAGTAAGAGATTTAGTGATAAAACATTAAACCAAATAGCAAAATCATATCCCTATCTGAAATATCTCAACTTGGCGGGATATAGTGATGGATTAATAACTGATAAAGGTTTATACGCAATCACAAATTCATGTCATAAATTAGAATATCTGAATATCTCTCACCGCAAAGAATTTTCTGAAATAGCGATTTGGAATGTTATTCATTCTTGTCCAAAGCTCCAAGAGTTTGATATTCGTGAATGTAAAATTTCCTATACAACTATCAAGGAAATTGAACTATATCTTAAAATAAAATATATTAATCCAGATATCGCCAGCAGATATTTGAAAAGAATCGGTCGGGTCAGATCCGCTGATTTGAATTTTACTAATATATAGAAAAATTGAATGGGTGGTGATTATTGTAATTCTATCGAGAAATGGATACGGGTAAGACACGAGATCGATCAAAGGTTTTAGAATCCATAGCTCCTTTTTTCCTCCTTATCTCTCGGAAAAAAGATATACATGTTATCAGTATATGCCGTCTACCTTTTTCTGGCTTCGAGCAGTTACTGCGAGAAGGTGGGATATATGCCAAGCACATGATTATACTTCATGGCTAGAATCGGGTAAGTCAGGTATATGATTCTCAATCATAGCAATTTGTATACACAATTCATCCTGTTTTTTTCTGTGGTAATTCTCTTTACTTTTATATTTGCCTACATGTTTATTGCATGCATTATATTTAGACCTATTTGGCTCGCCACAATCTCTACAAGGAGTATATACTGGAGATTTACGATGGATATAACATCATCATAAGTATATATAATAAACTTCAATCAAATTTTTGGAATAATTAATTTTATTTTAAAGATTTATCTATCGATTAATATAGTTTCAAAATTATATTACATATACTTTTTGTCAGATCAAACGACGCGCATATAAAAACAACGTATATATACAAATTAATAAAATGAGTTTATCTAGCGAATATAATGAAGCAAAAAAGCTTCTCACAGGTTTAACGGATCTTGATTATAAACCTGGCCATAAAGAACATATATATTATAAATACTGGCTCGCATCCAGGCCCGAAGGGGCGATCCTAAAGGGTCATGGCCATACTGATAAAAATGATACTGCACTTTTAGATGCATATCAACCCGAAGAGATCCATTCTCAATATATAATTCGGGTGGCGGAAAAAGGTTTCACTATAGTTGATCACCCATCTGAAGTTTACAGGTTACCTGATACCCACGAATGTATTGATGGGAATCTGCCTCTTCATCCGGTTCTGGACATTGACGCGAGGCAGTACCCCGATCCCATGAATTCTGAACTCCCTTCTTTAGATAAATATAAAATTTCTCGTGAAGATTTATTATCCAGGATCTTGATTGCCTGTGCCGATATTATATATACTGATTTAAAACAGCACATAACTTTAAATGATTTTGCCTTAGCTAGTTATCTAGTGCCAATAAATGTAGTTGGCATATTGTATACCCCCATACCCGTTTTATCGACTATAGAGATCTTAGGGGTTTTGTGGAAAAAGTTGCTAATAAGGTTGGAAAACCATACTCAGAATTTATTGATATAGGACTCTATAAATCTCGCTTTAGTCTTCGTCTTCTTGGGTCGGCAAAGAATGATAGAATTAAAAGACCTACAATTTCTTCAGTTAAGAAAGGGTATCGTGATTAGAAAATTATCTAGTTCAGCCTAAGTTAGATGTTTCTGAAATCTGGCCCCGAACCTTTTCTTCTGAGAAGCCAGTAAAAGTGGAATTTCAACCTATCGATGATGAAAATGCTTTAGTTAATGGGGCTAACTTAGCTATTGCGAAATATGGGTGGCTCCAGATTGGAAGAATCGAGAAAGGGTTTGTTAACTTTCAATCACAATCGGCTAAAGAATGCCCTATATGTGACGTTAAACATGAAAAGGATCAACTTTACGGATTTATTCGAAAAAATGGAGATTTCATACTTAAATGCTATCGCCAAAAACAATATAAGCCGGAACATAAGGGGTTGAGCTTTGGTAAGGTGTCAGACAAAGTCGAATCAGAAGTAAAGCCTAAAAAGTGGATATTATGTGAAAGATTACCCAAGGCTGTAAAGCATCCACGCCCACTTGTAGATTTATCTGGAAATAATATTAATGTTAAGGAAATTAAGGACGCCCCAGAAGCTTATCCAGATTTCATGAGTGAGGAACCTACTACAATCCTAATTCGCTCACCTGTTGCCAGTGGAAAAACAAAAACCTTAAGAGAGATTCTTAATTCTTTAGCTAAAAGTGAAGCAAATTTACCTTGTTTTGTTTGGGTTTCATATCGTAAAACTCTTAGTAATGAAACTAAAAGTAAAATCAAAGTATTACAGAAATCCGGGCTTCGTGTATGCCATTATCAGGAAAATGAAGGTAATTTAGCTATACGTGACTGGGATGTTATTATTGTTCAGGTCGAAAGTACACATCGTCTTAATTTCCATGGGGGTCGTTCTCATGTAGTTATTTTAGATGAAGCGAATGGTATTATGCGTCAAATGGCAAGCGGAATCCATGCACGAGAATCTGAAAATGCCATGCGGGATTTGTTAAAGTCGGCTGTTCACGTGGTTGCCATGGATGCTTTTGCAAATGAGTCGACTTTAGCCTTCTTAAGACAATACCGGGGTGAAAACATCCGAGTTTTTGATAATAAGTATCAGCCACGTAAAAGTGAGACCGTAAAAATCCTTTATGATTCAAATAAAGGCTCAGAAGCTATACGTAAAGGTCTTGAGATGCTTAAAGAAGGTAAGCGTGTTGTCTTTTCAATGACCTCCTGCAAAAAGGCTCGGGCAATAGCTAATCAAGCATCTAAGTTGCAAAAACCAGACGGTTCATTTATTTTGTCACGTGTTTATTTTAGTCAAATGGATGGAAAACAACGCCAGGATGACTTTGGTGATATTAATGCTACCTGGAGTGGCCTTGATTGTGTAATCTATACAAGTACTGTGGAGTCAGGCATCTCGTTCGAAATTCCTAACTATTTTGATGCAATTATAGCAATTAGTAATATTAAAACAGGAGTACATGCTGAAGCATTTACTCAGATGCTTTATCGAACTCGCGATTGCCCATATCGTATTGTTTCTCTTTACAATAGTAAAACACATTCTGAGATTTTTAAAGAACCAAATCGTGACCTTATTCGTGCAGAACTTTCGGCCTTAAGACCTGGAGATTTACCAACTGCAATAAAGGGGCGCCGTGAATGGAACAAAATCGCTGACTGTTATATACTTGATTCATCTCCGGCAGTAGAAACCTATATTGAGGTTGAATATCAGAGACGCTTATCGGCCAAATATTTTCCGGAAATTCTTTGTAGTTTGATTGCTAGTACTGGAGCATCGCTAGAATTAATCGCAGTAGAAGATACCAAATTAGCCAAAGCTTCTCGTACAGAAGTATCTCATACTATTAAGAATACCGAGAAATTAATTAAAGGTGAAGATGCGGAATTAATAGTTAATGCTCCAGATATCAATCCTAATGAAGCTGAAATGCTTAAGCTAAATCCTGAACGTTCTTTTACTGATAATATAATCTTACAACGTTATTATTTATGGAGAACATATGCTTCAGGCGATATTGGAGGTAAGGATGATATTCGAAACTGGGGTATGAATAATGATGACTGGATTAAACTTTGTGACGTAGATTTTGTAAAAAAATTCAATAGTCCTGAACCTTTACAGCAATTTAAAAGGCTGGCATATTTCAGAAGACAAGGTTCTAACGCAATAAATTCTATAGAAAATCTAAAAATCAAAGAAGAAATGCAATGGGAAGATTCACATGAATCTATGGACCCTTCCTCAGTTGATTTGCATAAATTTTATTCAGCAAAACAGTGGGAAGCAGTACATAATCTTGTCCAATCGATAGGTTTTAGTGATATTGATGATACAAAGATTCTTTCTGGCGATGATGTGGCAAAGGCTTTTGAGCAATCATGTGAAGAAGTTGTCAAAATTCGAGAAGATGCACGATTACTCTTTGGCTTTAAGACCAGAGCTAAAGGAACGCCCGATCTCAATGCTACAATAAAGTTTATTAATGCAATAGCTGGAAATTGGTGTGGATATACTGTCAAAAGTGATGAAACTCGTGTAGGTTCCAAGGGACATCAAGTACGGAAGCGCACTTATTGGATTGATCATAAAGCATATGATGGATGTGGTTTTAAAACTCTAGAAGAAATAAGGGCTATAAAGGTTAATAATTCCAAATATCTCCCTATAGCTCCAATTATTCCACCATACAAACCAGAACCGATTGATGAAACTCAAGAACTTTTTGATTCAATACCAACTACTGATATTACCACTTCAGAGGAAGCAAAGCTTCGATGTTCTACATCATTCATTAATGAGGTTTGTAAAGAAAGTTCTTGCCATAATGTAATTGAGGAATCCATGACAAATTTACTTCAATCGCCTTCTACGA